ATATCAACGTCTTTCAACACAGTAAAAGACATAAATAAGACAAAAATGTTCTTTTTTCTAATTATTTATCTTTTGTGTACTTGAAGATTGGACTCATTGTCGTTATCTCTTCTTCTAAACATTTCTAACACTATAGGTAATAATAGAAATATTGTACATATAGTCCTTGATTATTTCGACAAATACTTGTCATTGAAAAAGCTCTAAATGAAAGCTTTTTTTTTGTATGTCTGCATTGTCATACGCCACTATTCATTGATGCAGTATAAAAAAATACTAAAATAATGGTCTCAAATAGTTTTGAAACTGACAATAAACATCACTATTCGACTCAGCATGATGAATCATACCTGTATTGAGCTCTGTTGAGTCTTTCAAGGTGAATTTGTTGAAAACGAGTGTCTCGGAAAAACGTGCTAGAAAGTTAGATCGAAAGAGAAGAGCTTTTTCTATCGATCAGTCGTATTTCACGTCAAAGTTCAATAGATGTTCCTCTCAAAAGTTATTCAAAACAAAAACAGTTTTGAAATCGACAAGTAGTGATTGACATTATTCATGATTCTCTTGTTTCAGGCACTCTTGTCTAATACGAAGAATTTTTATTTTTTTGTTCAAACAATTCTACAAATAAACTAATGTGAATTGTTCCATAGAAACTTGAGTTTTTTTTTTAATACTTATAAAATTATATTATGAAAACTTTTCAACAAGGTGTTGATAGATAAATCTTTCCACGGAATGAATTTTCGGAGACTTGAAATTCATGTTGTTCATCTTTGTGTATTCTTCTCTTTTGACGAATAACTTCAATTTGTTCACGTATCATTGGATATTCACAAACTCTCTTGATTATTTCATAAATAACTTCTAAAGTGTTTTGTTGTTGTTTCATTTGTATTTTCTTCATTTGTTCTTTATATGCGACTGTAAGTGTTTCTAATTCTTTAACTAATTGTAAATTTAATTGATTTATTCTTTGATCTGCACAAATCTGTTTCTCTTCATCAATCATTCGTAATAAACCACGTAGAAAAGGATCTTCTGTTGTCGAATGAGCAACATTGATGAGAAAATAAGCAAATTCCGCACTTGCAGTGTTCAGTCGATTAAGAAGATCATTCATTTCATTTTCTTGATGATTCGATGAATTATTTAAAATTTTATATTTAAGGATATAATCGATTGAAATGTGTTGATTTTGCATACATGAACATACAAGACATTCATTTCGAAATTCATGTACATAATCAGGTAAAATCCAAAAATTATCCAATTGAACTGGAACTGGTTTACACACAGTACAAAACATACTTGAACGCGGAATAACTTGTGGATATAATTCAATAAATTTATTTGGTGAGTCGATTTTCCATAAAATTATATTTCGAAATATATTTCTCATTGTTTCTAATATTGGACGAATCATTTGAACGATTTCAATTTGAGCATGTTTGATAGATTGCCATCCATTAGACAAAGAATAAGAACTAAGTTGTGTACAAATATAATTAATAAGACGATTTGATTCATTGACAGATATTGACCAACTCGTTTCATATTCTTTGTTTTCTTCGTCAGTAAATTGAATTCCATTTTTTAATGCCACTAAATATCGAAATGATTCATTATCGAAACAAAATGTATTTTCTTTATTAAATGGAATATTATTGATTGAGAATGAATTTAACATAGTACGAAGTAATGGAGCTGTATTGCCTGGTGTATAAAAAGTTGAACGAGCATTTGTGAAACAAAAAATCATATTTTGACGAGCATTGGAACCTAATAGATCAAGTATTTGAGTAAGACATGTTCGAAAAAAAATATGAAGTCGTGATTCATTTGGTTTAAGAAGAAAACATACAGCATCTAAATGTGTTAAATCACATATCTTTTCTAGAATACGTTGCATGTTCATATTATCTTGATCAAGACCTCGTGTATCGCCGAAACCAGGTGTATCAATTATACGTAATTTTTTTCCAATGATATGATTAACAGCGAAAAGATACGATCGACAATATTGTGTTACAGATTGACCTGGATGATTGAAATCTTCATTTGTTGAATTATCAAATGCACCAAATTTAACAATATGTTCTTGAAAATTATCTCCAGTTGTGATGAGAAACGATACGGGAATAAGTGCGACAGGTTGATTTGATTTAGCCTGTTGGAGAGTATTAAATGTCAGATAATTAATAAAAGCATTGATAAATGTAGATTTTCCAACACCAGTCTCACCAATAAGAAGAATATTGATAACATCCTCGGTCGATCGTGCTGCTCGTCTTTTTGCCAATGGTTCTTGCGGAACTTGTTTGTTTAGTTTGTTATTTGACGATAATATTATCATATCAGGTAATACGAATGAACAATAAGAAAAATCAGCATAGATAATACGCAATTTTTTATTTGTTAGACGTTCTGCAGCTAGTTCACCACATAGTCGATTGAACTTTGTTCTATTGTTATTATTTAAAACGTCATTTGAACAAAGAATACGAACGTGCGGATTATCTTTTATTAGATTTCGTTCCAATGATTCTATACTATTAGTTATATCAAAGTTATATTCAGCAACATTGAAATAACGGAAATGTTGTGACTTTAAATGTTCAATAAATCGTGCTTTTGGTTCTAAATCTTTTAAATATTGACTTAATTCATTCAAAATATTATTTAATTCAAGTTGTAATTCATTTCGTAACTTTTGATTTGCCAAATCATTGGGAGTATTAGTATATAACTTAGAAATACGTTCGACTTCATTCAAATATTTATGTATCATACGTATCTGTAGTTTTTGTGCTTTGTAAAGTTTTTCTTTAAGATATCCACGTAATAGATGCGGTAAATCATGATTGATTATAACATCGAAATTTTTTAATCTAGTCGCTAATTCAAGAAAATATTGATCAGAATCTTGATTAGCAATTGAAGATTTAGGAATAAAAGTAAATCCAGATCCAACATTTTGAGGATATTTCCAACGAATGATTTGAAAGTTCGACATAATCAGTATATAAATGAAAACAGTCTATATTTTATTCTATATAAAAATAAACATCATGAAAGATGATTAAATAAGAAAAAAATTTCAATATACTTTTCTATCAAGAATGTTCACTACAAGATTTTGACTTAGATAACATCAGTAAGAGTGGATGTTTGTTACATCGGAAAAGATCACGAGTCAATTTTTACTACTATTAATCAGTACATTAAATTATTTATCATAAGATTTCGCATCTCACGCTTAAATGAACAAAATCTTTATTTTAATTTCACAAACGAAAAGATTCAATTTTCATTTTGAATCTAGACAAAAAATTGTTAGAGCAGCTCATTTGAGTGTAACATGTAGAATTCAAATATATTTTATTACTATTAATTGCAGTGTTCAACTCGGATCGGGGTTACGAAAAAATTTCTATCACATAATCGTGTTATTCTAACTACGGTAATATCAAGGACATATCCTTTTGTTCCTAATACGAAATGAAAGAAAGGAAAAAGAATTGAGAAATTGATTGTCTCAAGAGAAGGAGTAAAATGATCGATACCAGGGTCCGAAACGAGTCGGACAACAAAAATTTGACCAATGTTTGGCATTGATTAGTAGTACACATATTACTATGTTTAACTCCAGTTACTAAAATCTGTAACGAAGAAGAAGAAGCAATAAAACTTTTTAACGTAATATTTGTTGAATTAAAATATGGAGTATGCAAATACTGGTATTAATCATAGACAGGCATATTTCATCGATTGGCTTAAGTCAATACTCGGTTTCAATTCATCAAACAAAATCGAAATGATTTTTATCCTAAAGCTATTTAATATTCCTATAAACTTATGAGTTTATCGTTTAGTTATTTATAAAAATGCACAATTAATTTCATTTTTGAGAATTGATCAGTAAGAATTTTTTAATAATGCAGCTAAAAAAGAATCTTGTCACTATATTTTAAAAGTCCTTTTTTAGTTCTTGTCGTACAAATACAGAGTTTTATTGTAGTTTACAGATTCGAACAGATTATTTCTCATGACTGCTTTTGCTAATATTACAAAGCGATGCATACAAAATTTTATTTGCATATGCGATTATTTGATGGATTCTTGTATTGATCGGTCACTAAAATTTTCATTAAAACTAACCGAGTTTTGCTCTTGTTTCGATACAAAATTTGAATTTAATTATAAATTAGTTTTTAAAAAATATTTCGACGCCATATTTTTATTGTTAGTACAACATATATTTATTTCAAAAATCAATATTTTTTATTTGCCAATCAGGTAAATCTCGTATAATCTTACCTTCATGCTACTGACTTTTGCATTGTATTTTGTATTTTAATAGTTTCGAAGTAAATGCTGTTTTACGGTATATTTGAAGCTGTTTATCATCAAATGTTGTTTTTTCTTTTCTTTCAAAATAAAAAAAAAAAAAAAGGAACAAAAAACTGTAACCACTGATGTGTTCGAAAACAGATTACCAGAATGGCAAAATTCTTAATAGGTAACCAAAAAAAAAAACTACACGCTTTTTTCTTGTGTTGGTGAAATGTACGACAAAAATAAATTCAACCTTGACAACATGGTTGTTATTTAAGAAAAAAAATCCAAACTTCGAAAATATAACATTCGAAATCGATATAAAATGTATTACTAGAGAGAAACACAAATTGATAAAAAAAAATCTGTTCGAAATCTATTGCATTTATGATAGTTTGAAGTGATCAAAGAAAAATTTTCTGTTGATCAATCATTCTGTAGTACACCTTTTTCGTTTTGAATCACATGTTTAAGCTACATAACATTGATTTAATTCTATTATATACTTGTATAGTAGACGTCGAGCACTCTATATATATATAGACCTGTTTAAAACGAGAAAGCCTTGAAAATGAAATACAATAAACAAAAAACAAAAAAGACAAAATGATATTATTCTTGTGAAGGACCATGAAGAATTATGTCACGTATTCAGAATTGAAAGAGTGTAGCAGTGCGACAGAAGTTTTTCTTTTAACCATACTTACATTCTCACCCACATGTACACTTTCAACTGCCAAATAATGTACTTTGTAGTATTACATAGCAGACTATTTCTGAGAAAGTTTAGCGTCTAATTACATCTTCTATGATCGACAGTATTGAAGATACGGAGATTTTAAGTAAATAAACGTGCAACTCTTGAAAAGCTGTACAAAAATGTAAAAAAGAACATTTTGTTTTACAAACACGTTAATTGATTATGTTTTACAATAATATAATTTTGTCTTTCTAGCTAAGCGCTGAAGTTTGTTTATTTTTTATTGTATTTCATATTCAAGATCTTATTGAATTAAACATGTCTACAAATAGAGTACTTAATGTCTACTATACAGGCATATAGCCGAACGAAATTAATGTTGTGTAGTTTAACTACATGATTCAAAATAAAAGAATGGTGAGAGACTTTTGAGGTGTACTGTATTATATATATATATATATAAGTATGAAAGGTGTTTAGTGCAATTCTTACAAGACTTAAATATGAAATACGATGAAGCTGCTGTCAATGTAAACGAACGAATTCACTAACATATATTTTTGGTTTATGAATTAATATCTAGTGTTAGATGCATGTCGATGGAGCAGTCATCCTATTCCGCAATGTTGCACATTCCGGAACCAGTTCCGCCGGCGGAATCAGTTCCACCAATTCCGGAATCCCTCCAACCTAATTCCCAAATTCCTCCAAGTAATTCCGGAATTTCTTTAACTAATTCCGGAACTCCTCCACCTAATTCCGAAATTGTGTCCGAGACGGAATCGGTAGAAATTCCTAGGAATTCCCGCGAATTCCATCTGATTCCCACAGCTTCCGGCATTGCTAGG